GGCGAGGGGAGGGCGATGCAAGGAAGTGGTGGGGCCGGCTCGTGCCTGGGGGAAAGGGGCCCACATTGAAAGACCAAGTTTTGTCTCAAGTGTGTGCATGTGCGTGTTCGTACGTGTGTGTGTTATGTGTGTGTGCACGTGTCGATGCCCTGCACACCCATCAGCCGCTCAGCACGTGGTGGATACCCCACTTGGCCGCGTCCGTATGCAAACCGCGCGCAGGCGCTGCTGGAGCGCCAGCGGCTGGCGGCGGAGGCTGCGGGGCAGGAGGAGCAGGAGGAGCAGTTCCACCTCGAACAGGCCATGGTGCGGCCCTCCTCCTTGCCTTGGTAATATTGTCGTGGCGAAACGCGCCATCTGGCGGGGCCTTAGTGTAGTCGCTCGGCCACAGCAGCAAGGTTCGTCTTGGAGTGGCTGCCGCGTGCGGGGCGAGGCGCCCACTGGCCGACGCCTCGCCGCGGCCCCGGCCCGCTCCGCAGGTGCGCTCCGACCGGCGGCTCGCCCAGGGGCGCGCCAAGCCCATCGACTGGGTGGCCAAGGCGCTGTACGGCCTCAAGGGCCGCGCAGAGAACGAGGACGATGACGACGACGACGAGGATGCGGGTGCGACAGTGGGGGGATGCTCAGGTTACCAGTGGCGCGGGTTCCCGGAGGCCTCGGGCCGGCCACACGCGTGCGGTCCGGCTTGCATATCTCCTGGGGGCGGCGCCCTGCACGGCGGCGCGCGCAAGGCGCCGTTCCGCCCTTCAAACGGGCGCCTGCGCCGCGCCTGCCGCACCCACCCCCCTCGGCACCCCCTGACCGCGCGCCCGCACCTTTGTCCGTGCGCCCGCGTGCACGACCGCGCTCTCAAACGCATCATTCCCACAGAGGCGCTGGCCGCGGAGCCGTACCGCATCTTTGAGGGCGTGCTGATTGAGGACCTGCAGGAGCTGGCCGATGATATCCGCGGCTTCAAGGTGACGAGGGTCTTGGTCGCCGTGCTGCTGCTGGGATGTGGGGGGTGATGGGGCGCAACACATGTGGAATGCTGCCACATGTTCTGCCACATGTTCCGTCTCGAACGGTCGCTGACAGAGCTGCCCAACACACGTTCAGCGGTTTGGCCGGGCAAGCCAGCGGGTCGAGGGGCCCGCTGGTTGTTGGGGCGGCGAGGGTGGCACGCTTGTGTTGCTTGGTCTGTGGGTGTGCGGCTCCGCATGCGCGTGGCCAGCCGACCACGGGGTGACGTCAACAAACAGATGGTATGGGAGGGATCATAGCCATGGCGGCACATGTAAGTGCCCCCGCTTGGCTTATTGACTACCCCCGCTCACCAATCACTGCTATGCCCCCACACAAACACACGCCCCTAAATGACATGCACTCCAGCCCCTTAGCCCACCTCAGATGTCCCATACCCCATCGCCCCCCTCCACAATCCAGGAGCTGGACACCAAGGACCCCTTGAACGCCGAGTTCTGGGGCTGCATGCACACCCTGGCGCAGGAGGAGCTGGCAAAGGCCCAGCGCCGCGACGCCGACGACCGCGCGCTGCACCGCGCCGGCGGCGGCCTCGCCGGCGCGTCCCGGCTCGCAGCCGCCGCGGGTGGCGGCGGCGGCGGCGGGGGCGGCGCGGCGGCGGCGATGCCGGGGG